GATGTAATTTTGAGAATCTAGTAAAGAGCATTGGTACAGTTAGGTGAACGTTAGCAAGACGTTAGCAAGACGTTACCAGAGGTGCTGCCTTTTGCTGAGCAACATCTATGTGGTTCTCTACTAAGTTTCTGTAGAGAGAAGCTTGATGGGGACAGGGGGCAAACCGTGAAGTGCCTCCTGTTTATTTTCATTACTTTGTGAAAACATATTTATTTAAATGAATAAACAATGAATTTATTTTAAATGTATTTACTTCATTATTTTGTACTTTCTTCAGAAGCACAGAATTCACAGTCTTAACTGCTCAAAATTCACACATTGTGTGTAATTTAATGTTTAATAAGCCAAACGTAGACTTCCCAATTCTCTCTGCTTCAGACTTAGGCTCCCTTTGAAGGAAATGAGTCTTTTTGGCTCTATCTAGAGGTAATAATAATTGGTAGGTGTCTCAAGGCAGACTTTCTTTTCCGTGTCCCCTGCGGTATTCACTAGCAGCATCTGGCATGTGAGGTGGGATGCAGCAACCTCAGTCTTGGAGCAAAGCAAGCCGAAGAACTCCGGAGCCAATTTCAGCTTGTGCATGCTGCTGCCTGGGAGTGATCACTGCGCTGGAGTGAAGATGATGGGCATCCGTCACTTGAGGAAGGAGAAGAGGGCTTTAAAAATGTGCATAGGGGGAACAGACAGACTTCTCTGCGACTAAAACTGAAAATCAAGTCTGAAGCTACTCAAGTAGCCAGAGGCTGCCTGTGGTACGTCACCTGGGGATTGCGCTTTTCAGTCCATCTTCTGATGGTTTTGTTTACTCTGCTTTGGTTTGCATCCTGGAGTGGTCTTGTAGTGCACATATTTGGATTTTATTTTAAATTAAATTTCACTGGAAGATGTGCGCCAGCTGCTCATGAGTGTTCAGTCTCAAGTAACCTCCCTGAGCACAGAATGAGGTTTTTCTTTCCTTTAGCACTGGCTGCTTTGCTCTACACATCCCACTCTTTATTGCGCTGCTGGACTTATTAACGTAGATATAGTCTGACAAGCTTCAGTTTGTACGAGGAAGCAGGAATAGTCTTGATGAGAAGTGTGTGTGAAGACGTATAGCTCAGTGAAATTGTTTGTGACAAGGGGAGGGAAAGAAAGATCCACTCTGTGGTAGGTGAAAATGTGCAGTATATTATTTTCTTTTATGAGAAGACCTGCTTTAAAAAAACAAAACAAAAAAACCAAACCAACAAAAATCCCCAAACCAACAAAACCCTCCTGCAACACAGTAACTCTTCAGTATTTCCAGTGGATTCCATAGGATTGTCTTGTAACCTGAATCCCCAAAATAGGAAAAAACCCAACAAACTCTAAAACCCCAGAAACAAAAACAAACCCTAGGAAAAAAAAACCCCAAACACCTAAACCAAACCACCACTGCCCTTAACCACAAAAAACCCAAACCAACAAAAAAGCCCCCACAACAAGGCAGTGCTGTTATAGCAGAGGGCGTTGTGGTATTTTCCCTTTTTCTTCAAGGTTTGTTGTGCAGCTCTGCTGTCTGGCTGTGGGGCTGGGTTTTCCTCTGGGTGGGAGGAAATCTATTCTATTAATAACCTTAGCTTCTCAGAGCAAAGACCTCCAGCAGCTGGGTGTGTTGGATAGTTACATGCCATTCTGGTGTATTTCATTGTCTATATGTTAATGTATAGTAAAGAGTGCGCTTCTGTCTGAAGTGTCTTCTGAGCACTGCGTATGAGTACATGGCAGAGGCCTTTAAGCTGTCTCAGGTGTAGGACGCTGCAGGATTTCAATGTGCCTGTTTCAGGGGAACATCTTATTCGTTGGTTATATGAAGATACTGTAGCTTCTCCAAATGAGATTGTATCTTGAAATACATGTTTAAAAAAAGACAAAGAAAATAATGGGGGTAAAGGAGAAGTGTTCAGGGGAAAGTAAGAAATTACAAGAACTAAGACCATTTTTACTTTTCTGGAGTAAAATTTGACTGGTTTAGTTCAGTCTGTCGTGATTGCATCAAAGGTTGTTCTCCTGGGGTATGTTATCATTTTATTTAGTAGTTAATTTTTTTTTTCCTTCTTGGAATTGCTAAAAATGTTCTCATAATAACTCAATAAACACTTCTTATCTGAGAACAGAGCTGTTACTGTGATCAGAGTTCAAGGTCATGGAGTTAAGCCTGTAAGAAACACACAAACCCCAAAAGATGATAGCCCAGTGTTTCTCATCCAACTGAAATTAAAAATGGGACTATGTGTTTCCAGTCTTTCTGGACTGGTTTGAATAGCATGAGCTATAGAAAATGTATATGTTTTTGAATGCCAGTGGTCCCAACAGGCTCAGGTAAGGATTCGAGTGGTCCTCGGGCCGTACCTGGCAAATCTGGTGTTTGAGCAGAACTGGAGGAAGGGTACGTTGCTGGCAGAAAGTTTGGCTTGGTCTGAGCTGTGCAGGTGGCACCAGAAGCTCCAAGTAGGCTTGGATGTATGTGTGCATGCTTGGGGGCAGTCAGGAAGGGTTAATTTTGGAGTTTTAAGTAATGTGATCAGGATAAATGATCAATTTAAATATTATAAAAAAGAGGGTAAGTCCCATAGTCAATATGCTTATGCTGTGCACCAGGCACTTTGCAGTGGGTTATGTTATTTAGGAGAGCATTCAAGAACTTGGAGAATTTTTGCCTCTGTTTTGAGAGTTAGTCTTAAACCCTTGGTGTGGAGCAGGAGGCCAGTGGCAGTCCCATAAAGTTTGGTGGTGAGATGGCCTGGCTGTTGGCTATCTCCAGCTTTCTACATCGTCTGGCTCTGGGCAAACAGCTTTGGAAAGGAAAGGGCTTTGAAGTTTTCTACTTCTGGGGCAAAAACCATTATAGGATGCTAAACTGAGGTGGTGGTATGATTATTTTAATTGCTCTTAAGATATTTAAATGTTCATTTGCATAAATCAAATCACAGCTTCAGAATAATTATGCTGTGTGTTTGGTTAGTTTTCGTTTGATCAGAGTCACTGCAATGTCTGGCTCAGGTTTTATGTGACTCATCTGAAATTTAAATACCTATTGCCAGAATCTTCACGTGCTTTGTATGAAAAAGTGATGTAATTGAAGTGTTATTGGTATTGAATTTGTCTTGGAGAGCTGATTGGACTGATACAAGCCATAGCTTCCATGAAACTTTGTAGTCATTTACACTGCAGTCCCTCCAGTGCCTTTTTCTTGGTGTTTATCGTTATATGACATAAAAGTTTAAGGCTGGTGTTTGACAGGTCTGGAAGGGGACACAGCAGGGTCAGTGCAGAGAGCTGGAAGGTACAGCATCTGAGAGAGGCAAGATCTGTGCAATTTCAAGTGGAATTGAGATTCCTCATCCTACGTGTGGGCCAGGTACCACTGCCATTGTCCTCCTCCCTCCGATGCTCTGCTTTGTGCCTGGGAAAGGGATGTACAGCATGGAGCAAGACCCTGGATGGGCTTGTGGCCCTGCTCGCTGCAGAGCTAGTGTCCTCAGTCCAGGGCAAAATCGGGGAGGCACCGGCACTAATCGTGTGCCATCACACGGGCTGTGCAGAACGGAGATGCTGTGCTCGGGGGCTTCCCAGACTGGCACACTGCCTCCTCTTGTGCAAAACTGTTTGTTGTTACTGATTTCTGAGGTGTGAGTGTTGTTTCTGAGAGACTGCACAGGTGTAGCCTTTCAAAAAGTGGTGGTCTCAAGGAAGGTGGAGTCAGGTTGAAATTTTGATCTCAGCCTTACTGGGAATTCAAAAGTTAAAATTATCCACAATCTTTTATTCTGACTTTCACTTCTCTCTTAGTAGGGAAGTAATTGTGTTGGCAGAAAAAAATATATTAAAAATATATGAAAAAATATATACAGAATGTAGAAAATAGATGTAGAAAAACATATTCTTTTTCTTCCTTTTGCATTCACTTGAAAATAAATTTCCTGTGAGAAATCTATCCTTGTAAGTTCTCTACCTGCAATTACGAGCCCAGTTTTCAGAAATTATCTTGATCAGGGACATGTTTTGTAGGTCTGTAGAACATTATGCTTAGTTAATTTAACAGATTGCTTTAGAGTGCAGGTTTTTATGGCCACGTCATTGAGATAACACTGAAGTTGGGATATCTGAAAGTATGAGGCTGATAGTTTCCAAATCTGAATTGAAGAGGGAGGAAAGATTCGTGCCTCTACCCCTACAACTGTGTCACTGATACGCAAATTTCTGCAATGGGACAGTATATAATTTAGGGAAAGCACCTGCCTTTCGTGAATGGGTTAGATTACTGTACATCTGAATGTACCCGGAAAGGTGTAATTGTTTGTGTGAACGTACACATGCCCCTAAGGTATTTTGGGCCCCATCACATGGCTCAATCACTTTTACTTTCATCACGGTGAAATTCTTCAAGCTTTGACAGTTGTGTCATTTGTCTGTCTGCTCTTAGAAGCCTGATGGTGCTTACCAGGAGTAGGTCAGATACTTTGTGTAACAGGTAGCATTGACTCACAATTAAAAGCTTTTAAGTTATTTTACATCGTTATTGATAAATATTTGAATCGGTTATTTAACTTATGTTACTGAACACTGCGGTGCTTTTGTATGTAGAAATGCTGTGGGTTTTTAAATGAAAGCTGAGTTTTTAATAGCACAAAGGTAGTTCCCCCACTTAAAGAATGATGAGTAGTGGTCTGCTGCAGACAATCTCAGTCCTGCCCTGTGCAGCCAGCAAAAGCACTTACTGCTGTAACCTGCTGCCGCCACAGTCCTTGTGTGCTGAAGTGTGTGCACTAGTAAGGCATGAGGACCTTGCTGTTGGCCATCAGAAACTAAATACAGAATAAATTTAGGCTAGCCTGTTTGGAAAATATACTGGTGTCCTGATTTTTTTTTTTTTTTTTTTTTTTTTTTTTTTTTACACAAGAGGAAGCTGCTGCAAAGTTTGGAAATGTGAATGTGGGATTCTGACTTGCTTTTTCTTTTTCTCTCCCTCCATAGGTATGGCCTCACAAGTCTTGGTCTATCCACCATATGTTTATCAAACCCAGTCAAGTGCCTTTTGTAGTGTGAAGAAACTCAAACTAGAACCAAGCAGTTGCGTGTACCACGAAAGAACCTACCCGCAAATCTATGTGAACGGTAAAAACTTTGGAATTTCTCCCCACAGGGTTAGTACTTTCTTTCAGACTAAAAACCCATTTGACAGACCTCGAGGACAGAACTTTTTGTTGCAGTCAAATGCTGTTGCTTTAAAAAATATTGCAGGTGCTACAAAAGCGTTAGCAGCGCGGGCGCAGCAAGCTCAGTTAGAGGCACCTCGGACTGGGACGCAAGGAAGCCGATCAGATATCCTGGAAGGACCCCAGCGATGTGGATTGAAGCGTAAGAGCGAAGAGCTGGATAATCAAAACGGCACGATGCAGATTGTTGATGAGCTGTCCATCCTGCCTGCAATGTTGCAAACCAACGTAGGAAACCCAGTGACAGTTGTGACAACGGCTGCAACTTCAAAACAAAGTGGTACAAGCGGAGATGGAGATTACCAGTTAGTACAGCATGAGGTATTGTGCTCTGTGAAAAACACTTATGAGGTTCTTGATTTCCTTGGGCGAGGGACCTTTGGACAAGTAGTGAAGTGCTGGAAGAGGGGGACAAATGAGATTGTGGCAATCAAAATCTTGAAGAATCATCCTTCGTATGCACGCCAAGGACAAATAGAAGTGAGCATATTAGCAAGACTAAGTACTGAAAATGCTGATGAATTTAACTTTGTGAGAGCCTATGAATGCTTTCAGCATCGCAACCATACTTGTCTGGTTTTTGAGATGTTGGAACAGAATTTATATGACTTCCTGAAACAAAACAAATTCAGCCCTCTGCAACTGAAAGTAATACGGCCTATTCTGCAACAGGTGGCCACTGCACTGAAAAAACTAAAAAGTCTGGGTTTAATCCATGCTGACCTCAAACCAGAGAACATTATGTTGGTGGATCCTGTTCGGCAGCCTTACCGGGTTAAAGTAATAGACTTTGGATCTGCCAGCCATGTGTCAAAGACTATTTGTTCAACCTATTTACAATCTCGGTATTACAGGTAGGTGTCTTTTCCTTTGTTTTTAACTTTCAATGAAACAAAGTTTTAGCATCTATTACAGTTAATGGCTTAAATAATTAACACTTCCAGATAGCTAGTAAGAATAATTTGGAAAACGTAAGGACCATCTAAGAGTGTAGGCCATACTAAGATTAAGTGGTTGGTTACCATTTTAAATGTGAATACTTGCTTTGAATGTTTTTATAGTGCTATTCTTTTCTAGAAGTATGTTTTGTGTTGGACTCTGAAGTCATCACTTGCTGTTATTTTGAGATCTCTGATGAGAGTTTCTAAAAGGAAAATAGAAAAAAAAATTAGCTATCACGTGCTTGATTAGGATGCCTTTCCTGCCTTCCTGACGTGATGGGTTTTTTTCTGTAAGCAGCTGGGCAGTGTACTAGAAATGCCATACTTTTATATCCTGTTGCCAAAGATTATGTAAATGCCTCTGTTTTTCTCCAGCATTTGTAAATATTTTGCCTAGTTCTTATAAACTCTGTTCAGATTGAGTGCCTTCAGCAGCTGTGGACTTCAGCGAACTTCTGGAGTTAGTGACTGTTAGGATACTTAAACATTTAAGGTGATACCAGGCGGGCATTCAGAGTTATTTTGGTACGTGGTTCATTGTACATTGACCTCAAAGTGGATGTATATTTTTGATTTTTTTTTTTTGTTGTTGTTGCTGTTTTTAATCTTTTCTTCATATAGTTATCCAATCTGTGTGACATTTAAAAGCTATTAATATTTAGCATCTGTGGTCCTTTTGTTTTCTTTATAAGCTGAACTTGTCTTGATTGAAGACCTTTTTCAGTTCTGCTTTGCATCATTGGCAATAGTGTGTCCTGTGTATTGGCTGTCTGCCAAGTCAGTAAAAAGTTTGTAAACTAGGACAATGAGTAATTTGAAAAAAATCTTAAATATTGATGCTGGAAGTGAAAACTTGTGCAGTGTAATTCTAGGCTTGATGAAATTAGTGATCGGAGTTCATGCCAGAATAATTTCAACTATTTTTTTGATTGTAGCTTGTAAACAAGAACACTTCATGTACAGTACTTGTATAAATTATTCTAATTCATCACCTGCATTTCTCTATTACTTAATTACAAACCGCAACTAAGGGTTTAAAAACTACACAAAGTACATCAACAGAAAACTAAACTGGGAACCCATATGCATTGATGCATCTCCACATTATATAAAAACGTGCATGAGAGGAAATAAGAAATTAAGTCACATGAGAGTTCATTTTGGTGCGATAGCTGTACACCACTCAAGATACAGTGTTTTTGGGCCCCTCAGTACAAAAAAGGGCAAGTCTTGAAAAGGCGGCATTAATTCTGCAAGGTTCTAGACAAGTGCAAATGTCTTAATATCAGCTGTTCTGTACAAATTCGTAATTCAGCAGGTACTCAAGATGTGTGGTCTGAGAATACTTCCTTATATATTTTGGCTTTTTATTTATTGAAGCAATTGCAGATTATTGTGAGCTATTGCCGTTTCTCCCTCTTTCCTCCCCAAGAACTGACAAAGGGAGAGGTTGTAGACAGCCGGACTGGGTGGTCCTGTTGTACTTCGTTCTCCACTAACTAGTTCCAAATTGTTTTTTTCTGTTTCAGATGGCTTATTAGACATAGTGGTGTTGTGCTTATTCAGTTGCCTATGTACAAATTTTAGCTGTAGTTTTCTTTTACTTGATGTTCCTTTGCACCTACACTTTCTGTAGAATTTTGACATGCTTACTAGGTTGAGCAGGTCTTTATGCTGGCAAGATCAGTGTGCAACTCCTTGGCACGTTGTGTGCATTTTGGATACTTGTATTGCATTACATGCACTGAAGTGTGAGTAAGTGGGGTTTGTTGTGCGTGCGTATTCAAAAATATTCCTTCTCCCCCAAGAATAAGATTCATGGTTGTATGTACTTGTCTTAATGATGGTGAATGATATTCATATAGGCTCATATAACATGTGCACCTAAAATTCCCTAGTTACTAAGTTGCACTTAAGTGCTTTGTAAATATTCAGGTTGTTCAGTAGAAGATGATACTCTTCTATCTTGTATAGCTTTATAATCCTTCTACAAAGTAGCATTTATGTCAGTATTTGTTTGAAAGTAAAATGGACATACAAAAAGAAAAAAGGTTAGGGTTTATCTACTTGAATTTTTTGGGTGTAATATTCAAGCTAAATATTGGTTGAGATAAATTTGAAACTGACTTATTTTTTTTTTGGGGGGGGGGGGGATGCTCCAAAATTATTTTCAGCAAAAAGTTTACTTCAGCATGCTAAAAAGCTTTTCAGGATTTCATCGTGGATGCATAGCTCTCTACTAGTTGTGTGATTCAAATTGCCTTTGTGTAGCTTGACATACAGTTTCTCAAACTTTCTTTTTATTGCTTTGGAAGCGCCTGACTAGGGTAAATAATATCAGAAAAATAGGGATTTGATCCAAAAGGTCTCAAAATAGATGATACCAGGGGAATTTGAAGAGAAAAGCCTTAAAGAGGAATGAAAAGGGCCTTCAGAGAACATGTTGTATTGAGATGGAATTTGTTTTGGAAGAGATTGTGCTTCTTGTCAAATAAGGAATCAAATAAGGAACCAAATAAGGAACTAATTCATAAATGCTTGTTCTACTTAAATGTTTTTTGTACTAGAAAAGGGTGGGAGTGATAATGCAGGTTTGACTTGTTTGTCTATGACATGTTGAAACAAACCCTTTAAAAAAGTCAAGCAGCATTCAGGGCTTTTTTTATTCTGTCCTTCAGCTCAGTGGTGCTATGTGCTTGTTTAGGTTATTTAGCAAGAAAACATATGTTTAAAAAGATTTTTATTTAAAGCTTCAAGCTAAATTAATCCAATTAAAGTTCAAATTGGAAATGTGTTTTTTTTTTTAAATGCTTGTTCCTACAGCACCTCTTTTATTAGCATGATCCCATCTGTATTCTTGTGTACAGTCTTTGAAAATCGTTTGTGCTAAGATGTATATGTATTGTCATGAGCTTTATCTGTAACTCTTACCAGTGGGGATCCTTGCATGGTCAGAGATGACAGTGCATGAGGATTACGCTTCACCAAGCGACAGGCGCAACACACTGCTTTGACATTTATACAGATACTTCCTAGGTAAACGTGATGTGAACCTGGCCTTTTCTGATGTGCAAAAGCACTTGGCCAGGCCCAAGGATTTAAAGAAAAAGGTATTAGGAGGAAACATTTTGGTTTTAAAATTACTGTTTTAGAATCTGAGGCCTTAGAAAAGGATGGAATGAAATGCCCTGAAATGATGGTGTACATTGAGAGGAAGCAGGGCTGTATCCTCGCAGCATCGGGATGCCGCTTCTCAACGCTGTTGTGCCAGTGGTGTCCTGCTCCGGGGGTGACACTAACCACATCCCTGTCCCATATTCTGCTCAGCCCCCACATCTGCCAGAGTGCCTGTGCCAGCGGGAGGTGGGAGGGAGGTGGCCTGGCGAGAAGCGAGGAACTGTTATATCTGGCAGCGCTGTTAACTTATGCCATGGTCATTTTCAAGAATAGGCTTTCCATTGCTCTATGGGAAGCGTATGCCCGCCAGTCTCTGTCGAGGCGTACGTTGAGCGCTCAGGAGAAACTCATAAGGAAACTTTGCAAAAGTGAATAAAGAGAAAGGGTTGGTTGTTGTTAGGTTGGTTTTTTTTCCCCCAATCTTGTCTTGGCTCTTTTTTCTTGTTCATGGGACTGTTGTGAGCTAATTATTGTGAGAATGGAGAATGCTACAAAGTCTAATGTTGCAGTGTTTTTGTTGAATGGTAGTGTCAGTATTTTACATCAGCAAGAGGAAGTGAGTAATGAATTGGATAAATAAGTAATAAGAGGATTAGGACTTAAGGCACGGAACGTAATACAGCCAGGTGAATGGACAATGGGCTGCCTTACCTTACCTTAGTCTATAGCAGAAGTGGTAGTGACATAATGATGACTATTGGAGACATTACAGTACTTTTGTTTGAGGAGAGGTTGTAAGAAAGTGAGACTAATTGAATTTTTAAAGGATGTAGAGAAGCAGAAAAATGGAGACAAACTGTAGGGAGTGATAATGATGTGATGCTTTCCTGTTTCTGTTTCAGCTTTGTCAGGCAAAGAGAAAGTAAGAAAATGCTTAACAAGTATAAAAATATTTTTTGACATTTCATTTCCTTTTGGAAACTCCTGACTGTTATACATTGCTAACAGTTAGAGTATGGGTATGAATAAATACTAACCACAACACGCTGTCTTAAGTCACAGATTATTATTTTTTGTTTGTTTTAAAGATGAAATGTTATTCCGAATACTCTTTCCAGCTTACACACGCTGTTTGTAGGCTGATCTGGACTTTAATAGCTGTGGGCTAGAGAGATCTGGTATTTGAAGCCTTTTCTCTGCTGCTGGCCTCACACGTTAAGACTGTTGACCTTTTATGAGTGATCTAAGTAGGTAAATAACTAGGCAGTGTATACATCTTGAAAAGAAAAAAAAACCCTTACCATACAGTGTAGGTGATCAAGCTTTTATCATATATGGAAATGGTATGAGAAGTATGTTGCTGGCCTTTTGGTCAGCTGTGCCCCAAGTCACAAAAAGGGGAGTGTTGCATCCAAAATCAAAAGCTTCTTTTCACCTTACCGCACGTTGCAGGCTGCAGAGGAGAATCAATACATTTATTTCTAAGTCTGGTGTCTTGCGCTCATTTGGCAAGGCAGACGGTTGTTGTCCCAGGCCAAAGTGTTTCTGTCTGGAAGTCATTTTCCTTTGCTTTGCCTCTCTCCTGAGGTTAGATGTGTTTAGGGAAGCAGGTGTGAGAAGAGGGGCTCGAAAATGGCAGGCTCCAAGAAGAGTCGAGTGATCTGCAATGGTGAAGGCAGTTCTGCCCATCTGGTTCAGGGAGCTGTGTTACTTTCCTTTCTGTTGCTGGAGAAGCAATGGCCTTCTCAGCGTTTTGTGTTCAGAGATAACTCTTCAGGTTTGGTTTTGCAGCAGAC